GGGGCGGGCTGGCTGGCATGTGGTGCTGGGGGATTGAACCGTGGTCCCTGTGCTTCGCTGAACTTGTTCTAAGTAGGTGCTTTAGACCACTGAGCCATCTCTCCAGCCCCTCAATAGAAATTTGACTTGCTGGTTATCAACTATGGAGCAGCCTGACAAGAGTATAAAATAAGTGGATAATTCACTAGAAACTGGGTTCTAGATACTAATTTTAATAGTTCAAAACAAAGTTTAGTAACAAATGTTTAATAGGCACCCATTATAATCACTAAACTGTGAATTCAGCATTATTTGTATCTGATCAACTATACAAACATCACAATTTTTCTTTTGACAAGAAATAGGAATCCCAAAAACGAGAGGAAACTACTAAATAAAGGTTGAATCTGCCAGCCTAGCACCATAATTTCAGTCTTTGAGCCTCCCGAAGAGCTGGAAAAAGGACATGGGAAGACGTGAGCAGCTGAAATTGTGAAGAATAGTTCCTGACTTGGGACCCCATTTTCACGCTGAGACCACGTAGTCTAGCCAAGAGGAAAATCGCTGACACTGGAGATGGCACACAGAAAAATTTGGGAACAGAAGGCCAAGGAGGCCACTGCAGGCAGGAGAGCAGTGTGCACAGAGTGCAGTGCTTGCAGCAGCCTCAGGAGCTAAGGGTTTCTTCTTGGCTTCGAGGTCCTTTTTAATCTCTTCAAGGTTTTTAGCCAGGTTTGGTATGTCATAGTTCTGAGCCAGGTACATTCCCACCACGTTGCCAAAAGTAAATCCAAGCAGGAACTGGAGCATGTTGTCGGCGGGGAGAACCCGAATTGAGGATTTTAAAGATTCTTAGATTTTAGGATATTTTTGTAGACTTCTACTGGTTAAGCATCTCTAATCTGAAAACTGATATGAAATGCTCTAGAATTTCAAATTTTTGGTGTAGGGATGTTTGAATTACAGAGGTTAGTATGCTTCTTTTTACTTTCCTTTCATGAAATGTTTATGTTCATAACCTTATGTGGAAGCCACATTTGCCCGCTGGGATCTTTGAAAGGCATTATTTATTTATTTTTGAGATAGGGTCTCACTATGTAGTTCAGACCAGCCTTGAACTCACTGTGTAACCCAGGCTGGCGTTGAGCTTGTGGCTGTCCTGCCTCACCTCCTGAGTGCTGGATTACAGGTATACACTATCAGGCCTGGCTAACAGCAGCTTTAGATACTTGTATATGAGGTGTAATTGAAATACATGGTGATGGGCTGGCCAAATAGCTCAGATGATTAAAGTTCCTGCAAGCAGGGGCAGGGGATTCGATCCCCAGTGCCGGCCTGGCCCTAGGGGCCCACTGAGATGGCCATTGAGACTGGGTGTGGTAACTCACGCCTGTAATTCCAGCTCTTAGGAGACTGTAAACAGGCCAATCACTATGAGTCTGATCTAGTAGTGAGACCCTGAACACCCTGTAAACCCTTCCCTAAAATTCCAAAAAAAAAAAAAAAAAAAAAAAAAAAGACAAGTGAAATACGTGGTGAATGTTCACATTCTAAAAAAAAATTATTTCAGCAAAATACATAATGCCATTAATTCCCCTCAAAATACTGCTCCTTGTTTCAAAAGCCCTTATTTCACTGTTCTTGCCTTTTTTTGAAGCAGTTTTGGGAGAGGGTGGTTTTTTGTTTTTTGTTTTTGGAGGGGTACAGGCAGTTGAACTCATGACCTTGCACTTGCCAGGCAGGTGCTGTGCACTGAGCTACATCCCCAGCAATTTTTTAAAAAGAATATTTCTATGAGGTGTAATAAAAAATAGTGAGTGCTGCTATCAAGGCCTACCAATACAAAGGCAGGCTTAAAAACAGGATATGTCCTCATCTACCATATTCACTGGAACTGGCACTGTGTGACTTCTGGCTCTTCTCCCAAAGTCAAAATGACCATGAAAATAAACTTCTGAATGAATTTGGGACATAAAGACAGTCCCAGTGGTACAATAAAGATGCTCATGAAAGAGAACTAGAATTGCTTCAGAATGTAGCTGGAAGGAGGGAGTGTGTTTATTTTTATTTTTATTTTTTTCATTTTATTTATTTATTTGTTTGTGTGTGTGTGTGTGTGTGTGTGTGTGGCCAGCTCAGCCCACCAGGGGGCGGGGCTGGCTGGCATGTGGTGCTGGGGGATTGAACCGCGGTCCCTGTGCTTTAGCTGAGCTTGTTCTAAGTAGATGCTTTAGACCACTGAGCCATCTCACCAGCCCGGGAGTGTGTTTAAAGAGTTGAAAAGGGGGACACTATTTTGAGGAGGCTTAATGGCAGTGTGTCTTTTATTGTAGCCATTTAATTTTTTTTTTTAAATTTATTTATATGTGTGTGTGTGTGTGTGTGTGTGTGTGGTACCGGGGATTGAACTCGGGACCCTGCGCTTGCCAGGCAAGTGCTTATTCCACTGAGCTATCTCCCCCGCCCTAAGAGGCATTATTGTAGGAGGATCCTAGACCACTCAGTGCAGAGGTTTCAGTGTTTCAAGCAGGTTAAATGTTACTGATGAGACTTCAGGATTTATACTGTGGCTTTCCAGTTATAACTTCTGTTTTGTGTTTATTAACATGGAAACATTGCTAAGTAACATTTGCAGGATGTTACTGTTTTCTGTAAGAAGTAACTTCTGTTAAATCTTTTTTTTTTGGTGGAACCGGGTATTGAACTCAGGCCCTTGTGCTTGTCAGGCAAATGCTTATTCTACTGAGCCATCTCCCTGGCCCCCTTTTTTTTTTTTTGGTATCAGGGATCAAACTTGGGACCTTGTGCTTGCCAGGCAGATGCTTAAGCATTGAGCTATCTCTCCAACGCCTGTTAAATCTTTGGTTTTTTGGGGCTGGAGAGATGGCTCAGTGGTCTAAAGCACCTACTTGAAACAAGCTTGGCAAAGCACAGGGACCGCGGTTTGATCCTCCAGCACCACATGCCGGCCAGCCGCGCCCCCTGGTGGGCTGAGCTGGCCACACACACACACACACACACACACACACTAAATAAATGTTAAAAAAAATCTTTAAAAAAATCTTTGGTTTTTGTTTATCTAAGTTTCTAGTCAAATTCTTCAAATATAATATCCCCCTAAAATAATTACAAGAAAAAATGGAAAAAGCTTTAGAAACTTACTCAGATCTTTACACACTGGTAATATTATAGTTTTCCATTTGTTTTTTTTTTTTTTTTTTTTTTTTTTTTTTGGCAGAACTGGGGATTGAACTCAGGCCCTTGCGCTTGCCAGGGAAGCACTTATTCTACTGAGCCATCTCCCCAGACCCCTTTGGTGGTTCTTGATTTTAATGTTTTTTGCTTGTTTTGCTTTTGAGATAGGGTCTTGCTTTTGTACTTCACACTGTCCTTGAACTTACTCTGTAGCCCACATTGGTCTTAAACTTAAGGTGATCCCCCTGCCTCAATCTCCCAATTGCTGGGATTAGAGGTATGCCCCATTCATTTAGTAGTTCTTGGATTGGACAGATTTTCATGTGTCATGGTTTTTTGTGCTACAGAGCAGAGGTCTTGTACTATTAAAAAAAGTTTCCTTTTGTATGGCATTGGTTTGTTTTATGCTATAAAGAATCTGAGAGTAATTTCTCAGATTCCTTTTTTTTTTTTGCGGAACTAGGGGTTGAACTCAGGCCCTTGTACTTGCCAGGCAAGCACTTATTCTACTGAGGCATCTCCCCAGCCCCTAATTTCTCAGATTCTCAAGAGTTTTTTTTTTTTTTTTTTTTTTTTTTGAGACAGGGTCTAACTACATTGCAGGCTGGCCTTGAGCTCACTTTGTAGTCCAGCCTGGTCAAACTCAATAATCTTGCCTTAGTCTCCTAGTGCTGGGATTACAGGTGTGGGCCACCACACCCAGCTTTCCTCAGAGCTTTTTTTGGAAAAAGACTGAAACATAAGGCGTTGAGCCTTTGTAAAAAATGGGGAAGAGAAGTTTTAAAATCAAATAAATTTTCAGGATTGTAAGCTCTGGTGTAGTGATATATTTTTTTTTAGTGACATGGTTTGGTTATATAGTTAAGACTGCTGGCCTTGAACTGTGTAGCCCAAGCTGGCCTCAAACTCATGGCAATCCTCCTGCCTCAGCCTGAGTGCTGGGATTGCAGGCCTGTTCTTTCACACCTATTCTGGTGTTGTGATTTTAAATGGTGATTTTTGATTGTTTGCTAGACAGATGTGAGCTGTTAGCATTATATTTGTGATTAAAGTTTATGTTATTTGCTGCTACATGGAAACTTCTGCCTTTTAAGCTGTCAGAATTGCCCAGCAAACATGAAGCTCTCACAGTAGTGCTGATCTGCCATTGGAGCCACTCCTGTATGTGCCTGGAGTGGCTATACAAGGTGTTGATGCAAGCTGAACTGAATGCATATTTATAAACATAAAAACATTTAAGTCTCTCTTCTAGAAATTAGGCTAGAATTTGAGGAAAGGTTGGGGCCAGGGAAGGGAAGTGGTGTTGGTTGCTCAGATTTGGTGAAGTGGAAGGTTCTCTTGGGCCTGTCAGGAAGGAGGTGGGGTGGGAGACGTGGAGAGAGCTCGGGACTGTGTGGGCCTAGTAAGACAGTTCCTAGAGTGTGTCCGGTGTGCTGCCTTCTGCGCTGGGAGTGGGGCAGAGAGCACTAACTTTCTTTTCCCATTGGAAATTTTTTTTTTTAATAGTTTAAAATAAAAGTGCATTCTTAGCCTCCTTTTAAAAAGTATCTTTTGTGGGCTTTCAGGTATTTGTGAGTTAATGAAGTTTTAGTATTTGAAATATTAACTAAAAATATTGTTTTTAATTTTTTTCTAGGAAAGCCACCAGAGGAAAAAACGGAAATCAGAAGCTATAGGAATGAGTGACCAGATTGACTTGTTGGCTCTTGGTACAGCAGTTGGTAGCATTTTATTGTATAGTACAGTAAAAGGAGAATTGCACAGTAAATTAACAGTAAGTGTATTTATGTGTATTTTATATAAAGATGTGATGAGAACTGAGATTATTAGAAACACTTCAAGAGGGCCAGCAAGATAACTTAGTTGACTAAGTGCCTGCTTAGGCAAGCACAGGGTCTGGGGGTTCAATCCCTGACCTCACATGCCTTGCTGGCTTCACTCCTGGGTGCACTGAGTTGGACACCAAGACAGGGCATGGTGGTGTATGCCTGTAATCCCAGCGTTGGGGAGGCTGAGATGGGGGAATCACTATGAGTCCAAGCTGTGTAGTAAGAACCTGTACCAAATTCATTAAAGAAAAAAAGAAGTACTTCAAGAGATATGATGAGATCTGTACTATATGGGCAGTTTTCTTTCCTTTCTAAAGAACTGAAGTTTTTGTTTTGTTTTGTTTGGAGACAGGGTCTCACTGTAGTTCTGGAATGCCCTCAGCTCACTATGTAGCGCATGCTGTCAGGCTGGCCTTGAATTTGTAATGATTTTCCTGCTTCAGCCTACTAAATGCTGGACTAATAAGCATGTACCACCATACCTGGCTTAGTAGTAATATTTATTTATTATTATTATTTTAATTATTTGTTGCATGATTTGCATTTTTTTTATTTTATTTGTGTGTGTGTGTGGCCAGCTCAGCCCACCAGGGGGCGGGGCTGGCTGGTATGTGGTGCTGGGGGATTGAACCGTGGTCTCTGTGCTTGCTAAGCTTGTTCTAAGTAGGTGCTTTAGACCACTGAGCCATCTCACCAGCCCCAGTACTATTTATTAAGAGCTGAATTAGGTAGCATCTTTGCTAGTGGTTTTAGTGTGAAGAATTACTGAAGTTAGCATGAGGAAAGGTCAAAGGAACTAAGATTATCCCAGGTAGCAGGAAGTAGCTACTTTGGGTAAGAGGTGCAAAGGAGGCAGTTGGATTTACTGCTGAAGCTGAGACCTTTGAGGAGTAGGTCTTCTGTTGGTGTTGTCTCTTAAGGAGTGGCCACATGAATTGGTGCAACAGTTTGGGATGGGGGGAGGTTTCCCACTGCCTGATGTCTCTGCAGAAAGGTGATGGAGCTGGCTTTTCTCAAGTTTGGAAAAGTAATACTTGGGGCTCAGCTGCTGCTGGTGGTACCCACTGATGGGATAAAAAACAAGCTATTGGGGCCGGGGAGATAGCTCAGTGGAATAAGTGCTTGCCTGGCAAGTATGAGGTCTTGAGTTCGATCCCTGGTACCACCAAAAAAAAAAAAAAAAAACCAAGCTATTGAGGTGATGCAAACAAAGGGACAGGAAGACCCCCTTCAGCTGGGTCTACTCCCTGCACCTCTACTTATAGAGCTTCTGGATCCAGCTGGCAAAACAGAAATAAGGTATGCAGAGTCTCAGCCCCAGAACTTTAAACTGGAGCAGATTTAAAAAAAAAGTTTTTTGTTTTCTTGTACCAAGAATCAAATTAAGTGAGATAGTGAGGTTAAGCTTAAGAGCCTAAATTGTTTGATAATAACAATAAGCTTGTCTTCTGGATGGTTAACAACCTAAGTTTGCAGACCAAAATTGCAGAAAAAGGAGGGCTACAAGGAAAGCCAACATTTTGGCCCTAGTCTTCTAAGGTCAATTAAGACTCAGGACATATGAGAACCTGTACTGTAACGTCATGTACCTCGGTAGTGTCCCAAATTTTCTGATCAAGAAGATTATGGGGCCAAAGAGGAAAAGTGATCGATGACGTCGAGTGGGCCTAAGGAGAGTCACATGGGGAGAAGACACTCTCTCAGGCTTTCACGGAGAGCACAGTGGCCAAGCAATGGCCGTGACTCATCCACATGGCTGCACTGACAAAGGTTCTACAATCTGAGGTACAGGATCTCAGGATAAATCCTGAGGGCATTTCACTGACCTTCTCAGACCCAAAAGCTACAACTCTTGTTGCATAGGTCCTGCTTTACCTTGGTCTTAACCATCCAGTAGAAAAGTATGAAGACGAAATATAGGAAGTAAAGCCATGTTGTTATGTTGAGCTGTGGGGGACTCAGGTCAATAATTTCTGGCATTGCCAGTTAAACAGAAGACCCAATGCTATTATGGGCTACTGGACTCTTTTAGAATATTTTGCTGAGTTTACACACCTATAATATTCAATAACGGAACTTAGAAAAAATGGGGTATGCCTATGAATGTCCATTTTGTATCTGTGTATTCAAAGTGGTTGGGATAGATTTATAGTTGCATCCTCTTAATGAATAGAATAATTTGTTCTAATGGTGTTTGTAAATAGGATCACAAGTCCACATCTTGTACAACAATTAACCACTAAGAAGAATATATGCAGTATAATATTTGTTGAAACTACTTCCAATTTGATTTGAAACTGTCTCATTGCTATCTGTTTATCAATAAAACTTTGAAAAAAAAAAAGAATCAAATTGAGGCTAGCGTTGAGCTCACCTTGTAGCCTAGGCTGGTCACAAATTTGCAGTAATCCTCTTGCCCCAGCCTCCCAAGTGCTGGGATTATAAGTGTGTGTGTAAGTGTGTGCCACCATGCCCAGCTCACTTCCCCATTCTTCCTTCTTTTCATTATCTTTATTATAAGAAAAACACAGCAAAACAGAGTAAAAAAGTGGTAGGGGTGAAAAATATGGAAAATGTAATTATCAAACCAACTGCCCAAATATGGCCTTGTGTTACAGAGGAGAGTGATGTGGCTCTGAACCACATTTGCCTTTCCTTTTTTTTTTTTTTTTTTTGGAACTAGGGATTGAACTCAGGCCCTCGTGCTTGCCAGGCAAGCACTTATTCTACTGAGCCATCTCCCTGGCCCAGCATTTGCCTTTCTTGACTCAGTCTTACCCTTAGCAGGGCTGGACTCAAGGGTTCCATTTTCTAATCCCTTCTTTAACTGAGTTTGAAAAGGTTTTATAGTTCGCAGGCTTTCAAGAAACTAGTTTGGAGAAAGAAAAGATGTTTTGGCCCTTTGTTTCAGTGTCTTCTCTGTGCCTGTGGGGTTGTCCTCAGCCCAGCCCCTCAGTATCTGTTGATGCCAGAGAGATGAACCCCATGGAACTGGAGGAAACTGCGCTACACAGTGGATGGGGAAGTGGGCAGCATCATACTTACGTAGAAGTTGGCCAGGAGGTAGAGTATAATAGGCAGATGCTAAAGAACTTGTGGGAAGAGGTAAACTGGAACCCGAAGTTCACCTGCTCCCAGTGTGTCAGTAGGTAAGCCTTTCCTTGGTCAGTAGTCTCAATGCTGTAGGAAGACACTCAGGTAGTGGATGGCATTGGTCAGGGTCCGGATAACAGGAATGCTAAGGAAGGGATGCTCAGTAGAGCCATGAGCAGGAATCCTAGCAAGGTGATGTAGGCAGCCAGAGGCCTTGACTCTCCGTCACTCGGGTGTTGGGCTTTAGTCCACTGCATGCCACCCCTACCTTCATCCTTTTGCAATCAGCAGATCAGGCAGGAGTTGAACTTAATTTCCTTTTAACCCCAGTTGGAGCATTTCCCCCAGTCGTCTCCCTGAAAAACCACAATGCTCTGGACTCTAGCAGGCGCTTTCTCCTATGCACTGTTTCTCAGTTGGATTGCTTGTGTTACTGAACAGTAGCAAGGGAGCCAAAGAGTTTGAGTGTTTAGGCTATTTATATCTAGTGTAAAATGACTTTGGAAAATGTTCTTATTTTGTGTTTACATCATCAACGGAAGGACAGTACCTCTACTCCAGTGATGTTATTGTGACTACTGAATATACCATTGATGCAGTGGTAATGATTAAAAAAACCCATCTAATTTGGTAGATGAAGAATTTTCTTTTTCTTTTTGTGGAACCAGGGATTGAACTCAGGCCCTTGCACTTGCCAAGGAAGTGCTTATTCTACTGAGCCATCTCCCCAGCCCCCAGATGAAGAATTTTGTCTGAATTTTTTTTTCTTTTTTTATCTTTTTGATACAGAGTCTCACTATGGAGTTTGGACTTGGCCTCAAACTCACAGAGATCCTCCTGCCTCAGCCTCCACTCAGCCTATTTATCTGATTTAAATCTGCACTCAGAAGTTGTTTTCAGGGGCTGGGGAGATAGCTCAGTAAAATAAGTACTTACCTGGCAAGCAAGGGCTTGAGTTCAATCCCCAGTTCCACCAAAAA